GGGGGGGGGGGGGGGGGGGGGGGGGGGGGGGGGGGGGGGGGGGGGGGGGGGGGGGGGGGGGGGGGGGGGCTATGTGTTCGCAAATTTTTTCCGCGTGTACCCTTCGCGGCTTTTTTTACCTCTCAGGAAACCAAGATAGAGTTTATAGGATTTCGCGTTCTTTGTAGAGGGTAGGTATACTACGCTCATTGATGTTTTCGTTGTTTATGATGGATACGTGATCCCACCCTTTATTCTGGGCGTTTCTTTGGTCTTGCACAAGTTCCGGTACAGTTTCCTCCACGCACCGGCCGGCGTCACAACAGGAGGAAGGCCGCGCAGGAGGATTCCCCCAACGTTTATCGGCAGAAGGCCGCAGTTGTTCCTTTCCCTCGTCGACCGTGAAGCCGAATTTTTCGTACGCACGAACTTATTGCTTTCATTAAGCGATACACAACAATCTCACGTCTGAAGTGTGGCACGATTTTGTATCGTTACCTACAAACGCCATGCTATATAGCCAAAAAAAGATACATAAAAATCTCAAGTTCTAGTCGAATCTACCTCGTCCTGGAGTGGCACGAGTCCAGGTGGTATGTATCGCCACTAAACAAGACGAAGCTTACGTCCATCATCTCGTGCAGCGTCTTGGAGAGCTCCGCCGGGAGCCCCATCGGCATGCCCGCCTTGCCGGACCGAAGGCGGTGCCACTCTTCTCCGTTAGGCGGCAAAGCCCTGCCCGAGATGATCTCGTACAGGGTGATACCCAGGGAGAAGACATCACACTGGAGGCGGCGGGCGGGCGACGGCGGGAGGTCTCAGCACGGCATAACGCTCAAGTCTGGTGAATAGCGGGCTCCGCACAGCACACATGGGTGATGGTAGAATTTCGGATCAGCTGAAGAGAAAGCAAGCTCCTACCTTCGAGGCTTGCTACATCAGCTGAAGAAGGCAGCCGACAAAAGCGCGGCAAAAAAAAGACACACAGGACAAGGTCAGACTGGACTGCTGTTGCAAGTAAAAACTACCTTGGTGAGGTTGGAGTGGTCGTCGTTCAAGAGCTCCTTGGACATGTACCGCGAATCTCCCTCCACGACGTCCGTGCCGGACCTAACGTGCACAGGGGTCACCAGCCCGAAGTCTCCCAGCTTGTACTGGCCGTTCTTCACGAAGATGTTCCCCGGCTACACCAACCGCCAAGCGTTGGGGCGGAATACAAGCAGAAGGGCAAACGCAGTCGATGTCGACAGCGGAAGGGCCAGACCGATCAGTGAATGCTCTTTGAAGGACGTTACATTTGAATGCTACAATTCGACACAAAAATCGAATCTTGGGTGGACAGCTGTGTGGAAAACCCGCCGCTCTTTTCCAATGAGAACATCAAGACTTGAGAAGCAGTACCGCATAAAAGCGGTCCCTGTACGCATACAAAACCGCATGGTTACGGCCCGTCACCATGCACAAGGCCTTTGAAATCGCGCTAGAAAATAGGTGGAAGTTCAAAAATTTCAATATCGTACTCGAACAAACGCCGGCCCAACCCGTTGGCACTACCCAGGGCCCACTTTAACGTGAGCCACCAACAACAACACCAACTCATCAATATGCGTATCGTGATGTCGGCCATATGCGTACCTTGATGTCGAGGTGAACGAGCTTGTGCTGGTGCAGAATCTCCAGCCCCAGCAGCGTCTGCCGCAGAAAAGCGTAGACGCCCGATATCTCTAGGCGGTGCCCGCTCTCCAGCTGCTTCTCCAGGGACGTCTCGCACAGCTCGGTCTGAATGTACAGACGCTCCTCCTCGATCCACGCCTGGCAGCGAAAAGCACACACGAAAACAACACAAGATGATTCACAACATGTCTGCGTAAGATCCCTCAGGCCACGCCATTGGAAAGGACACCCAACACAACGAGGGCAGAAATCGCTGGCTTACGTCGTCTCCATGGGGGTGTACAGCGAGCGCGACTAACCTGCGGCATGCACAGTGTACGAGCCTCTCGGATCCATGTGGGACACACATACGATTTCTCCCCGATGTTCTCCCCGACCCCTCCCGGGGTCCCAGACCTACATGCATGAACACACCTGCTGTCGCTGTTGTTGAAATGGCCTCGAGATGAGTTTTTCGTTCGTCGCAGCTCTGACGATTGTCCATGTATTCTGCAGGTTTGCTGGCGCGGTCGACGCTAATAAAAAAAAAACACGCTCTCACAGATGTACCCACACACAAACAAGCTGCTGCTGCTGCTGCCGCTGCATCATATGCACACCTGGTGGTATCGAACGATGTTGATCGTCTCCTGGGCGGAGTCGCAAACGGCAGCGAGGGCGTACACCTCCATGAGCATGTTCTGCCGGTCCGTCTCGCCCTTGAAACGCCGCCTGCTGCACTTCACAGCGTACAAGCAGCCGTCCACACGACTTCGCACCTTTCGACCACGAACCCCCAAACAGCAGCAACACAAAAATCAGAACGGCCGCAATAGGCACTTGGGTTTACAGGAGCAAGCGGCGTCTTCTGTATGACGGGAAGCTCATGGTCCTCGTGACGTCTACACACCGACAAGGTAAAAGGAATGGCCCCTGTGTAACAGTGCGAATACCAAGGGAGGGATTACTTACCGGCTATTAATAGCACATATTCAGGGCGCCTCAGTAGTTCAGGATGTGAGATTCCCTGAATATACCGCCTGGGCCATGAGATTTCACCGGCCTTATGTTACGAGACATGATCGACTGCTAGCATACTTCAAGCATACAACAGCCCGAACCATTCACCACATGGGCAGAAAACAAAACCAAGGGGCAGGAGACGCGCCTTGCCCACCCAGAAAAACGGAAAAAAAGGAACATCACCCCCCGTGAACACGCACACGATGAAGGAAGAAGACACACCTTTAACACAAAAAAAAACACAACACAAAAAAAAGGAGAGGGGCAGACGCACCTTAAACATGAATGCACATCACGAACAAAAGCAAACAAGCGAGGCTCACCTTGTACACTGTCCCGAAACCCCCCGCGCCGATGATCTCCTTGACCTCGAAATCGGTCGCGAACCTGCCCCGCGCCGCCTCCTCCCCGTTCCCGACGTTCAGAGACACGTTCACGCCTCCGCCGGCACTAGAAACCGGCGACATTGGTGCGGTGTCCCCCCCCAGCCTCGTGGCCTCCGCGCTGTTCTTGCCGCAGCAAGGGGTTACCGGCACGAAGGCGGCCACGTCACAGGGGCTGGGATTGGTAACGTCCTGGACTGTTTTCTTGCCAGCGGTGGTGGGGACGGAGGAGGAGGAGCAGGTGCTGCCAACGCTTACCCTCCGCAGGAAGCTGATCGTTTCACACAACGGGGATCGAAACAAGACGAGAGTAAGCGGCGCATCGTTAGCGACGGAGTGGGCTGACGTCGTGCACGTTGTTTCGTGTGTCTGGGGAGGGAGGGACGACAAAGAGCACGACATGGCGGTCGTAGACATAGCATCAAGAGTGATGTACCCTAAATGACACAAGATAGCACACCCCCTGGACCGATTTTCAAATCTCGATTTCTCAACAACAGAGAGAGTCACGGCGCCGGAATCGGCGGCGTTGGAACCGTCTCGTCGAGGGATTTCCAAAAATGTATCGTATCGTTTATGCATCCTCTTCGTCGTGGAGTAATCGAGCGTTGAAAATCGGTCCAGGGGGTATGTTGTCTTGTGTCATATACGGTATAGCGTTAGTGCTCTTCTCTTGCTGCGTGTGGCGATGTTAGTGGGGGACAGGAGGCCTGAGAGAAACAGGCTGCGGCATACAACCAGTGGCTGATGCCATCAAAAGTGTACCTTCTTGGTCGTTGACTTGCCGTATTGCGACCCATATCATCATGCACACGGAGGAGAGAAAGGGAACAGATGCAAGGGACAGAAGCACGGAGCTGATCCATCAAACAGCAAACAGCCGTATCCCTGTAGAGGCAAGAACGCCACCAAAAACCTATTCAAACCCCTCGCGCAGCGAAAATAACAAAAATACAGTCCTACAAACCGCCGCAGGATGCATAAAATCAAAATAACACACCGGGACCGAGTGTCGAAGCTTGTGTACGGTGCAGGGAAAACAGCGACAATGTCGAATATGGAGGCACTGGGAACCTCTCGTTGACAGCTCTCCGAAAGCGTACTGCATGATTCGATAACTGCATTCTCGTCGTCGTGGACTAATGCAGCAGCAGCATTAACGAATCGCTTCTCTGAAAAAGGGACGGTTTTACAACTTGCGCCTAAAACTTCGACCCTTGCCTGCCCTCGTCTCCTTTGCCTCCTCCTCGTCCCATCCCCGCCGTCATCGCGTCGAGATCTCCGGTGTCCATCGGAGATCGGTCGGCGCCCCCAGTCACGGCCCCCCCGCACGACAGCCTAGAGCGCGGGGCAGGGGCAGGCATGGACATCGCTTCTCCCTGCCAGTTCGTTGCACAACAATATGAACGCACCGATGCAGATTGAGGAGGACGGTTCAGTGCGGAGGAACGACGGCCGCAGCGGCGGCAGAGCACACGCCGTACTTGGTGCTGCACCTACGCGTGTGTAAGTAGCGGTCACACCCCAAGTGAGTGGGTGTGCGCACCACAGCTAGCGATAGTCTTGTGTCCCTCCCAGTGCATGGCAACACGTTCTAGTGACAGGATACCGACCGGAGCAACCTCTCCCGCGTCAACAAAGGGGAGCAACCCTGACAGTTTGGCAGGGTTACCCACACAACGAAATACGTCTCTTCACCAGCATCGCGAACCACGACACTAGAGCAAACGTGACAGCCCTAGGGATACAAATGCGCGCTCACGACACCCAAGGCACACAGAGGTCAGAACAATCCTCCGCTCGCACCGCCAACATACAACACAAACACAAACACAAACACAAGGGCAACAGAGCAAACTCTTAACTCCCTAACTCCGACACAAAGGCCAACACAACACCTTGCACCTGAGAAACGTCTTCATCCCTGTCCGGCGAGAACGGGTTCCTGTTGCTGCGGAGCGGGGACTCCTCACAGGCTGCTCGGCCCTGCTCCGCGCTCGTCTCGCGTCTGCCCCCCTCTGACATACGCCACCGCCCCACGCTCCTCTTCTTAACCGGGGATCCCTGAACAGCCGAGCTGAAGTTTGATGCGTTCGGAGATACAAACGAGAGGACGAGGAAACAAAGTGGACAAAAACAGCAGGTACAATACACGATGTGCGTAATCATATATGTATGAGGGCTAATATCTTGAGGAGCATTATTTGTGGGTGGAGGCACGGGGGTGGGGGGGAGGGGGGGGGTTCTCCAGCAGAGTGCTTTCGGAGACGCTGGGTTAGCAAAATCGACAGAAAAGATGGACGAAACACGCACCAAAATAAAAGTCAGGTGAGAGAACTGCGGCCTCCAAGGGGGGGGTACTGTTGGGGACATAGATGCTGTATGGCAAGCCGTTCGACCACAAACCATGGAATAAGCAGGCAAGCCAATAACCCCAACCCATCCGAAACCAACAACATGCAGCACCGACAGGACCGCATAAAATGTAGACCAACACAAATGACGAAAAAAACAAATCATCCCGGGCGCGAGACATCCCCCCCCGCCCCACCTGTCAAACCCTGCGTACCCCCCCACGGGAGAACAGCTGCCGTATACGCCGCCCCGCGCCGCGGTTCCTCGCTCAGAAGTTCTGCTCCCAGCCCCCCTCCCCGGCCTTCTCAAAGGCGTTTCCGGCACCCCCGCCCCCGCCCCCGCCCCCCCGACATTTCTCGCTTGTTCCAGAGCGGCGGCTATCCCCCCCAACCCCCTCGAACTCTTGCCACTACCGCCCACCATCTCCAGCCTAGCTGGGGACGGCGGGGGCGCAAACGCATCGTCGTCCTCCCCGCCCCCCATGGACCGCAACGAGACCCCGCCGCCGCGGGTCGCGCGTCGGGAGCCTCCGCCGCTGCCGCCGCCTCCCCCGCTGCTGTGATCATCGTCGTCGTCCATTGCCGTGGATGCAGGGGAAGCGCCCGCGCCGCCGCCGCCGCCGGCCGGAGAGGCCATAGCGGCAGACTCGACCGCTCCATTGGAGGCGCCGCTACCGTACGGCTGACGGAGGCAGTCTAGCTGGAAGGATGGGTAGTAGGAGCTAGGGTCGTGGTCTCCCGCCTGGGGAGGGGAGGGGGGCAAGACGGTGGTGAAAAAGAAAACAGGGAGGTAATCAAGGAACCGCGGTGATGACGATGATCGTCAGTGATGTAATCTAAATAGCATCTACAGACGACGGAAGTTTGTAATGGGGCATCGGCACGCACACGTTGGTAGGTATACCGCATTCCGATTCGCGGGAGTGGCGAGAGTGCGTCAGACCGGGTCAACTCATGGCGGTAGCGCTGTGGTGTTCTTCGATACGCAAACAAACGATATAGGCTATGCCTAGTTTCCAGGCGGTTTCCCTCCACTCACTTGCAAGACTATGCATACAACACATCCCTTTCGACTGGGCTTCTATCTCGAACGGGCGGTCTTTCTGTGAGATTATTTTACTTTCTGCGTCGAAGTAAACAACAACGAAAACAACGCAAGAAGCACACTGCAGAATAACACGAGAAACAATACAACAGCGGGATTGATATTGCAAACACCCACCATCAGGGTGGGCAGAAACCAGAGCGCCTTCGGCCGCAACTGCCATCAAAGAGCCACGCATACGCCGCTTGCCGCACAAGTCGTCCCGTCGTCTAAAACAGGGACGCCTGTGATATGATCTCGAACTGGCAGTCTTGCTTCCCTGCAAACGTTTTATATTTACTCTACCGACCTCCAGCCAACTTACGGACCTCCAGCGGTTCCCCGGCAGAGGCATCCCTGAGGTTCACCCCCCAGGAGGGCATGGGAGAGGGGCCATCAAGGCCGGCGGCGCGCGAGGACGGCGGCGGCGGTTTCCTGACGGTGGCCGGGGTCTGTACAGCCTGCGGCACGGCGAAAGGCCGGGAGGCTGCCGCTCCTTCACCTTCCCCACCGAGCACCTGTGCAAATGATGTTCGTTTGTGGTGTTTGATAGGTAACATTGTTGTTCTTGTTTTCTTGTTAGCAGTGTTGGTGTTGGTGGTGCAGGTGGATGGCGATATCGTTTGCACTGCTGTTGCCGCCGCGGCGGTAGTGAAAGAGGTGGCAGCCTCGCATATCGAGTGCTGGTACACAGAGAACAAACCGCTGTATTGCAGTGTGATGAATAGTGAAAGAGGCTTCTGGCTCATCACACTGGGAAACAAATACCGAACACTCCACCTTGGGCAGTCTAACATTGACAGCTGCATTCACAAGAACTTCAACCAACTGAAAAAAATGGTAACCGTACGATGTATGCATCAGAAGTATCTTGGCAGATGGCGCCTCCGTGAATTCTGAAATGCACTTCAAAATATATCGAAATGGCCGCTGCTACACCGCAGAGGACGCAAAAACCGAGTCTCGGGGCAAACTACTGCTGTACATGCCAGGCACGGGCTTCCCGAGGGTGGTGGCATGTGGTCTAAATGCCGGCTACCTTCAAGCATCTGCTATTGTCATGCGCTGCCGTTTATACTAGCATGATATTGTCCTGGAAAAAAACTGTGTCCCATACATTTTGTGGATCGTCTTGGAAGTCACTACTGCCGTCACTTCTTTCTCCGAGGGATATCGATACAGCTGTTTGTCAACAACACGGTGGTGGATAAAGAAAATGTTGTGGAAAACCAACCACGGCGCATGCACACATGATGAAGGCTGTCAAGAAGATGCTTCCGACGACACAGCTTCCGTTGTGCCGTATGGTATATCTGATGTACAGCGGAGGACCTTTGCCGTGCGGTGGTGCGGTGCCGAGGGCTTGGAAATCTGGCTCTATATTTCTTGTGCCGGGCGTCGTTGGTACTGCTATTTGCGGAATACCGTAGGCTGGTCTTCATGCCAGCTATCAAACAATGCACAGCAAGCACCACTGCCGCCCTGACCTCTGTCGGATTGACAGCACTCGCTGCTGGCTGTATTGAGGGTTTACTCTTAATCGCTGAAGGACAGGCCATTCCACCCTCCCACGTCTTGAAACGATCAACCCCTGCACACAAGGAGCATCCGCCGAATCTCAGATATCGACAGGGTGGACACCCAGCGCATGCTCATGGCATAGGCGGAAAACGGCGGAGACTACCGCTGTGTGCGACAGAGCTTGCCTCTATTGATAGTGTCCATCTGCCAGGCTTTTAGATCGACATTCGACGCAGCCTTTGCTGTGCGAGTCCCGGTCAACACATGGAGAAAAAATATTCGGAGAGTCTCTTCGCCAGCCCCCGACTTCAACGTACAGCAGCGGCGAATGGGCTGTTATCCTTCCGCAACCTATATACTGCCTCTTTTTTGCACGCTGCTGCATGCGATGGGCCGGGACTGTCAGTGCCTCAGACCTAGTTCTGTGGCTTTCGAGAGGTGCTTCATGATGCATGGTCAACAAAACTCGTCTGCCCTGGTTTTCTCACCACGGCTCGGAAACGCTAATCACAGGAGGAGTCTTCGCCTTGCTGCAAAATTTGCAAGTCACAACGTGCGAAACCTAGTCCCCTCCCCCCCCCGAACGGCGAAACAACAAAACAACGCAACCAAGCCCTCTATCCATCACTTACCCTGCAACTCGTGATCACCGAAAGCGGGCGCAGGGTTGGAGGGGGATTGTGCATCTTTTGTGGATGTTAAACCTTGGCACACCCCAAGATGAAAAAATACACCAACGGCCAAATCGCGGCGATGGAGACTTCCCACAAAGTGTGCCGAAACCGTGCACATATGAGCAAGACATATTCGTTTCTTGAAGCGGGCAACGGTACAACAACCGCCACCCACCCAACACGAAGTACCACATGTTAACCGCAACGACCAACGTCGTGGAGGGCAGCACCCGGATTCAGCAGCAGTGCTCACCTTCGCCCTCTTGACTTGACGAGGGTTATCGGTACGGGAGGGAGGGCTGTTGAGGCTCATCCTGCGCAGCACCTCTTGCGCCGACCTCGTTGGGCTTGACCCCCGCGCCGTCTCGGTCGCAGCTCCGGCATCCATGCTCCCTCTCGGCTCAACGCTCCTCCTTACCTGTCCGATAAGTAGCAGCGGTGGGAGCCCAAGCAGCTTAAGGCCTTGTTGTCAACACCTAGTGTCGAGAAGTATGATGTCCACGGGCAGAAAAAGCAAAGTCCCTGTGCCTGGGCCGCCCCTGCGTACGACCGACGATCGATGCAACGTGTAGATGCCTCGGCGGGAAAACGCTGCAGCGCTTCGAAGTTGAGAAGGCGACACTGTAGTACCGACTGCGGAGGCAAAGGGAACTCGTGCGTTCTCGGGGCTTGAAGGGGAAGCTCAGCAGCTGTTTGCGAGCGCTGTTGTCTGCCGAGGTGTGCCCGCCAATAACACGACCCTCGGTCTGCTTGCTCACATTTTCAAAAAAAAAGACGAAAAAAAAAAGAAAGACAAATCCCCGCTTTTTGGTGAAGGCCTTCTGCCACTAGTACTCCAACTTGGGGGGCACGCAACCTGAACTTTCAGCGCACGATTCCACGAAGTCCACGATTCACGATGCACAGCGAGCCGGAGGGTATCCTTTGTCCTACACTTGTACGTGGACGTCCAGCGGAGAGCACACCGATATAGATGGTACTCCTGTAGTCTCGATCCGGAGGGTCGATCTCACCAACAAATTATCTAACCCTATTTCGCTATAAACAGCATGAGAGACGAAAGCCTCCTCGGAGCCAAGTCATTTGCATTTTCCATCATTACATTATTAGTATTAGCAGCGCCGTTGCTGCTGGGGTTGTTGACATCAAAGCTCCTGCGGACGTTTGAAAATACACTAAAAAAATTAGCCCGCAGAGACTATGGGGGTGGGCCTCAAGCTGTAGTGCCGGGTTTCCTCATTAACTCTTCTCAAATTTACCGGCCACGATACCACGGCCCACATTTTTTAGTGCTTTTTCAGGACCAATTACCAGAAACGGGTAGTATACCCGGGTACTTTATCACCACTGGTACAGTTATAAATCAATATGCTTGCACCCCAATGCTTTCAGCTGATTGGCCGAAATACCATTGTACCCATTCCCGAAGAAACCTCCATCAGGTACAACTTCCGCTGGAATTAGGACCCTCTGGTGTGACCGATATTGGTTACTGGTGTAGTCCCCGGAAGAGGTCAATTTTGTACCCAGAAATGGTCATATTATCACGCCGCCCGACGCTCTAGCATAAAACCCGCAGAACAAACCGTGTGCCGCGCATACATACCGTGTACCACACNCCGAAATCGACCTAGTGAGTCCCTCGCGAGCGAACCAGGCCACAACAGATAGTAGGCGGGTGGTGTCCCAAGGTGCAACTCACCGCCGCGCTGGCGGTGAGGATGCACAGACGGTGGTAGTGGCGAGAGGTGTGTATGGACACTGTTTCCGCGGCAGCAATGCAAAGCGGAAAACTGCACCTGGCAACCACCGTCGCGGAAAGCGTGGCCCACGAAGCTGGAGGAGTAGAGAGATTCCTAAACACCACTTCAGTAAGCACCGCTCGCGGGAGAAGGGAGACGACCGCGGGCACCGCGGGGAGGGAGTGCTGCACCCTCCTCGTCAAAACACCACAGGCAAGAACCGAGCTCTGCAGAGATGGATTGATGCGAGGAAACTCGCCGCTCGGAAGATACGGAAGAAAGCACACCCGCAACGCGAGGTAGACCGAGAGAGACACGAGACCGCAGCGGCCGTCAAGGCGGCTG